GAGAGAGGGAGAGAGGGAGAGGGAGGGTATAGGGGAGCTTCCCCTAGACCATAGCCCTGACGAAAGAGAGAGAGAGAGAGAGAGAGAGAGAGAGAGAGAGAGAGAGCCTAGCCCTGCTGCAAGAAAAGAGAGAGAGAGAGAGAGAGAGAGCAGGTGCTCAGAGGTGATTGTAGACAGCGGCACTACGCGGATGTCAGTCGGCGATACGCAGCACGGTGACACAGAATCTTTCCAGGAGCCAAGACGAGAGCCGATAACGCAAAAGGCCGCCTCCAGGAGCTGGTGCAGAAGACGACGAAGCAGGCCGTCAAAGGGACGACTTCATCGAATTCAGATTTCAGCTTCAAGGCCCCAAGTGCCTCGCGGTTTGTTGAAGTTATGTGTGGAGTCCACTGTGGAGAGTTTGGGGATCTGCCAACTTCTCAGACAGAGGCCAGCGGTCCGCTAAAACTTCTCCGGTGCAGGTGTTGAAGCGTGGCGACATTCTGTACAGTGTCCGCGTTGTGGGGCGGCTTTTCTCGGCTGAGGCACCGTGCAGCAGGTGCAGGTCCAATGCACACCGTGGGTTTTCGGAACATCCGAGGTCAGACTCAAGGAGGAGCTGCAAACCTTGATGCCGATGTTTCCGGAGCCCTGGCTCTTCTATTTGTTCATGTGGTGATGTCCGGCATTTGAGTAATCGGCATGTTTCGAGCAGCTGCCACCAGGAAGCATTCGAGGGCGAGGTACAGCAAACGAAGCAAAAGGCTGAGCACAGCGCTGCCCAGAAAGCTCTGTGCAGTCTGGAGCGGAGCGCAGAGACAAAAAGGAGGATTTGTTGCTTCCTCGCTCGTCCCATCTCGTCACTGACAATTTAAGGAAAGCGGAGGTCGTAGCTTGTGAGAAGGTGCAAGGGGTACAATATGTTACAATGCACGATATGCAGACGCAGTTGCCATGCTTGTCCACAGACGAAGTCTCGGCCCACCCCTAAATTCAATGCTAGATTGCAGACTCAATGAGGCATTGTTCAGGACTTAGACCTGCGGCACCGCAGAGAAGAGGCAGCAGTTAAAAATGCTTGTGCTACGCATAGCTGGCCACCCTAGCCTACGAGCCATGCCATGAATGTGGTACATCACCGGGCCGAAGTTGGCACAGCGTGCGGCGCGTCATGCGTGGCAGGGCGATGGCAAGGAGGAGAAGATATCTGATGCGTATGCCCGGGCTGGAGATCAACGCTACCCTCTGGATGTACAGGATTTCCTGAAGCTTCTCCGCCGCAAGTGTGGCAGCGTCGTTCGGGCGTGGCGGGTGGCTCTGGACAAAGATGGGGGCAGCGAGCTGGAGTTCTGTGAGTTCGTCAGCGCAGTGCGTCAGATGGGTTCTGGTTCGGGCCAGAATGCGCGCAGCCTTTGGTTCAATCTGGACGTGGATCAAAGTGGCACGCTGAGCCTTTACGACTTGGATCCAATTGCCGCACATGCCCTCGACAAGTTTCGTTACTTGTGCACAAGTCGATCCCTGCCTGGATCAGCGTTGCGCAGGGGTGTAGACATGGTTTGCTTAATTAAGGACTTGCAAGTTTTACCTTTGGTGTGTCGCATACAGCCGGTCCGTTTGTTAAGCGGGATTGTCGCAGACAAGGCTACGGCTCGATCAATGCAGCGTTTGAGCAGCTTCTCGATACGAGCAGATCTGGTGTCGTGACCCTGGAGAACTTCATTGAAGCGGTCAGGGACCTAGGATATGAGCCAGCTGTAGCCGAAGAGCTTTTCAACTGGCTGCGATCGCGGCCTGGGACCCTTTTCCTCCGGAAGAGTGACCTGCATTTCCTCCAGAAATGGGAGGACGCGAAACGTGACAAGAAGGAGAAAGCTGGCACACTGCATGTGGGCTGGATCAACCGAGACCCATCTGCGGCAGTTGAATATCGGAAGATGGCGGACAAGCTTGCCGAGAAAAGCGGGCAACAAAAGATGGAGCAGCGAGTCTCCGAGCTCCTTGGCTGCCACAGGAATTAGGTTGAATTAGATACTGGGGGCCAGACGGCTTGGACCCTTTGTTCTAAGGACACCGTTCACCGCCACGGCGCTGGCCATCGCCAAGGCGACAGAAAAGGTGCAAGGCAACTCGGCGAGGTCCTCCGTGGATCCGGTACAGACCCAACACAGGCCGGAAACTCCAGGCAAGAAGGGCGCAAGGGTGGAGGCCCCTGCAACGACGGCGGCCATTGCCAGTGCGCAGGAGACAGTGGGTTGCTATGCCATGAGACTGGCTTCCGATAATGAGAACAACACTACCAAGTTCTTGAAGTACCCGTGGTTGCAGAATCTCACAGATCTTCGGAGGGTGTTGTCTTTCTGAGCATTGAGGCTTTTGCGCAAAGACGGTGTAGATATTCCTTACGCCAGCATCTTCCACTGAGCAGCTCGGTTCTCGAGAGCTGGCGAAGGTATCTTCTGGACCGCTTCGGGTCTCTAGCAGCTGCCTGGGATGCGATGGAACCCGGAGAGGTGGGAGAGATTCGCCGCTCGGAGTTGTGAGCAGGCAAATTGCAGCAGTTCGAAGGGAGTGAAATTCAACATCTTTGGCAGCGAGTTCATGGAACATGCGTCAGAGTGTAGGGCGTGGCGGCAGACGTCCGACCGTTGCTGCTGCTGCTGTTGCTGCTGCTGCTGCTGCTGCTGCTGCTGCTGCTTGTAAGAGCAGCTTCTGCAGACAGTCGGCAAAGGCAAGAGCGACTTCGAGTTCGTCGTGTGCTTCAAACTAGGCGGCTTGGTATATTCTTGCACATGGGAGGGAGGGAAGGGAAGGGATCGGAAGGGAGAGGGCAGGGAGGGGAGGGGAGAGTGAGAGGGAGGGGTGACCCTGGAGAGAGCGAGAGCACAGGGAGAAGGTTGGCAAGCGCTACAGTAAAGAGGAGGGGAACTTTACAAAGAGACAATGAATCGTTTCTGGCCCCTTGTATTGTCGGCTGCTTCCACAGAGAGTGTCGTTGTATCAAGGGTCCGGAAGCCCTGCGGTTCCTGCGAGGATACTGCCGGAACACTGATGCACGCCGGCTTTTCGAAGCCTTGCCCAAGAAGGACGGACACCCAGACAGCAGGGACTATTTAATGGTCCTTGATTCCTTGATTAAGTGTAAACGCTTCGCGTCTCCGCCTCGACGGAGGGAGGGGAGAGGGGGAGCAGAGGGAAGGGGGGTGGGGGAAACCAGGAATCTTTGGAACCTCTGACCGCTTCGGCCGGAGCCGCGAATTTAAGTCGCAACTCAAGGCGCTGGAAGAACCGGAACAGGGTTTGCACCATTTTGCACCATTTCTTTTGAGCCCCGACATGGAACCTGCAAACCACAAGAACGACGTCTTCCAAGAATCGTGTACAACGGCGGGTAATCGTTACACAAATTGAAAAGACAGCAAGCGACGCTTCAACAGTCGTTTGTGGAGGACTCGCATCGCCTAACCTGGCGGGACCTCGGCCTGAAGCCGGATGAATGGCTGGGGTTTCTTACGCAGAAGAAGTGGCAGATGCCAGTCTGAACCAGCCTGGATCTCCAGTGTGTGGACCGCACGAAGATGCAAAGCTCTCCCTGGCCCGCCAAGGAAATCCTTGCTGATGGTGGAGGAGCACGCCGTGGGCCAGCTGCTTCGAAGGGCGTGAAACGCATAAACTGTTGCCAGGAGATGAAGAAGTGCGACGGAGATGGCGCTCGGCTCGCCTTGGAGCGACACTACCAACGAGCAAAGCTGCACGGTCATCAGCTACAGCTCGAGCATCCTGTGCTGCAGTTGGTCGGAGGGCATGCTAAGAACCGGAGAGATTGCCGGTCACTTCTTGGGTGTGCTGACGAGTTGTCGGGCCCGAAAGGTTTGGCGAGAAGCCGATGCTGCGCAACCAGGCTGAGCTGCCAAAATGGTGCCGCCCCAGGCTACTCGCTGCAGGGAAAGCTGATGGTCTAGAGCTGCCAGAGGTGGCATGCCTTCGGTTCTGCCATCATTCGCCTGCCCAGTGGTGTCATCGGATCTGCACAGGTCAGCTCAAAGTCATCGGCAGCGAGCGTTGGGCACTGCAGCTGCCGCATAGTATCGGGAGATCTTTAGTCGTTTTGCACCCTTCAAAAAGGGTCAGAGCCGCGCAAGTGCAAGCAAGGGGGCATGGATTCTGAAGTCCGATATGACTCATGACCGATGTGTTCTACAAACGGCAATCAGAAGGCACTGGTGCGCTTCGCTCTGGCTTCACTTCGAGAGGTTTAACACAAAGCTCTGGTGTGCTTTCCACGTTGCAAAACATACATTTCGCATGTCCTCTCGTGCATTCCTCGAAGAGGAGGCATCAATCCGTGCGGATCCGCCAATGACTGATAGCTGAACTCGTGGCTGTCCCATGCCTGGCGCTCGTCCTGAATGCTGCGGAAGAACAAATGCTCTGGAGTGTGTTGTTGCCGACTGCCCTCGGATATTAGCATATTAGTGCGATGCGTTGCCGTCTTGACGCACGCCCATGACACAGGAAGGAAGTTTGCTTGTGTTGAATGAGCCAGTGCCTGGCTGGCAGCAAGCCAGAGCTACAGGTCCAGGCACAAGGCTGTTGTAGCAGGAAAGGAGTTCAGCAACACTCCTCTGACAAAGGTCCATGTGATTCTGAAAGTTGCACCGGGTGCCGTGTTGAATCGGGACCAGAAACCGCAGACACCCTGGTGCCCAAGTGTAGCTGCATGCCGTTTGGCTCCCTATCTGAAGTCGAAAGCAAAGTCTGCAAGCGCTGAGTGGGAAAGAGTACACGCAACGTCCCAATGGCATTGGTAGGTAAAGATTCATAGTCCAAGTGAATGTGCTGGCCAGAACGTATTGCAGCCTGTTTGTAGTTCGCAGAAGTCCGACCTTTTACCAGCATCTTTTTCCGCGGGTCCACGTGGCATCATGTCGTCTGGTACAGGCGGGGGCGCAGGCCTGTTGGTAAAGAGAGGGAATGTCTTATGCGCACAGTGGCACCCAGTACGAACGACTTAGGTTTGTGACTTTCAGGGTTTGGGTGAAGACATCCGTCACGTGGTTTCAACACCAGAGCCGTTCTGCAGTTTTTAAAGCAAGCACGGTTCAAGAAGCTGCTCGCTCAAACTTGTGCTGGCTTTGAGCTTAGATTCTTAGACGGTCCGAGTACCTAGCATTGCTTTCTCGAATCGAGCTGTGATTCGCATAGCTCGATGAGTCTGGGAGAGTGCGCGAAACCCGACCACCCGATAGAACCGCATCTGCAGACCAGCCCCTGCTGCCGCTTCTAGCCTCGCTGGCTCGCAAGAGGCAGGCATTGGCGCCTGCCAAGGTGGGTTCTGACTTACTGCTGAGCTTCCCACAGGATCTGTGCAGGTTTTTTCCAGAGCAAGCTTGGCAAGCAGGATGGCCAAAGCAGCCAAAAAGATGGCGGTGATACAGTGAAGGCGAAGAAGATGCCTTTGAGGAGGGGTAGCCTGTGCGCGTTCACGTTGAGATGGTTCTTCCTTTGTTGATCCAATGGCCCGCTTCTGAATCTCAAGTCATAGGGTGGATCCTGGCTCGGGACTGGGCAGGAAGGCAAAGGCGAAGATGAAAGCAAAGAGCCTCGGGCATGCAAGTGCCGCGCGAGTTGACAGAATCTCGAGATCTAAGCAGCCTGAGGCTTTAAATCTAATCAATAGGGAGGCGGCTGTGATGTCCATGCCATGAGTCCGTTCGCTCGCCTTTCACCTCGATCTTGGCTCGAGCTTGGAGCATAACACGGCCAACCAGCGCTCAAGCGAGCATCAGTGAAACACCAATCTCAAAGATGGTGCGAAAGAATGCCGCCAAGAGTGGCTCGCTCTTTTTGGAACAGAGAGTTGAGAGTGTATTGCTGCAGTTGGCGGTGGCTTATCAGTCTTTCTCTTTTCCACTGCTGACCTTGTCACAGAGCCTTCCAGCGCAACCATGGTGATTGCGCGTCCGTTTGCCCGCCGGTCTCTGTCTGTCTGTCAGTCAGTCTGTCTGTCAGTCAGTCAGTCTGTCTGTCTGTCTTTCTGTGTTTCTGCTTGTCGGTGTCTGTCTGTCTCTGCCTGTCTGCGTCTGTTTTTGTCTGTCTGTCACTGTCTGCCTGCCTGCCTGCCTGCCTGCCTGCCTGTCTCCTGTGTCTGTCTGCGTGGAGACATGGGTACATGATCCGGTCCTAGTTTGCTTTTCCGTTCGTTCCCCTGTATACGGCGAACGATAGCGGGCCGGGTGCAGAACGGCACCGGCTAGTCGTAAGACAGCTCTATCCAAACGACGACGAGGAGAACCGTCGGAATGGTACAGTTTTGAATCAACATCGGGCAGAGTGCTACACGCGCACGTGCGTGCGTGCGTGCGTGCGTGCGTGCGTGCGTGCGTGCGTGCGTGCGTGCGTGCGTGCGTGCGTGCGTGCCTGCACGCGTGCGTGTGTGCCTATGTATACTAACATGAACAGGTATGTACACATGACTCATGA